TGATGCAGCAGCATTTCCAGCACGGGTCTGCAACGATGTAAGGGCAATGGGTGGTGGTCTGGTGTTATCTCCAGTTGCAAAGGACTTGCATTTGGGACAAAAAAAAAAAAAAAAAAAGGCTCTGAATGAATATGGTCGGCTGGAATATTTAATCAGAGAGAGACACAGCCTCTCTTATTTGTTGTGGTGTGTGCAGTGTTTATTCCAAGCGGTGTTTCCATATCAACGGGAGATCTGTGCCAAAGCCAGCTCTGAAGCTCAAAAGGAAGTTGGCCCGGCTGAGAGAAACTCCTACCCTTCCTGGGGAGCACTGCGTAGCAGGGAGCTGCTGGGTCCCCGCCGCTGGGCGAGGGGTCAGGATGGAGTGTGGCTTTTCGGAGCAGTGTCCCCTCGTCCCTGCAGTCAGCATTGGAGATTCCCAATTCCCGGCTCTGCCAGGGGGACCTGCACTCTCTCCGCAGGGTTTGAGTGAAAATGACTGTCTTTTGATACCGGTCTCTTCCTCGTGCAGGAAAATACATGAGCACACGGCCCATCTGGTTAGCAAAATTGAGCATACACTTTATTGCAGACTTGCTGCCTCCTCAGTATCTTCTGTCTCTCTTTTTCTATTTTTTTCAAGAAAAAAACTGTTAGTGGAAAAGCTGTTAACACATTTCCAAGCTTTCTTCGCTCAGCTTGATGTTTATTAAATATTTTCTCCATTGGAAATTGTGACTGAAGCGTGTAGGCATAGGGTTACTCCTTTGGCTTTTCCTGCCTGCTGAATCTGCAGTTCCTGCCTCTGCTCCAGGCTCATCCATTGCCCCGCTTCCCAGAGCTCCCTGGCAGAGTGGCCTTAGGGATTCCTGGGCCGCTCTGGCGGTCCCCCTGGTGGCGCTTCCGTCGGGACGTCCTCCCGCCCCATTCACTGCCAGCCAGGGCCAGGCACGGAGTCTCCAAAGATCACCTGGGGTGAAGGGGCTTTCAGGAAGCCCCGGAGCGTGGGATATTCCAAAGCCTAAGGCCAAATTAGTTCTGCTGCCCTTGAGGAGGGCCGTTCAACAAAGCTGCTCTGTATGCGGGCGCTGCGGGCGCCTTCCTGCGAGTGTTAGCGTAACGCGTGCAGGAAAGACAGAACACTAGAAAAACATCCAGAAAAAAAACATCCAGAAAAAGCTGGTTTAAGAAAACAAAATGAAGGAGCAACTCCTGTTGCTGAGGGCAATGGAGCAGTCATAGGTGATGAGAGAATCAGGCAGGAGTGGTACTAGACAGACATGATGGGAAAGGTATGTTGAAGCAACCTGCGTGAGTAAGAAAATCACATCCTTGACCACAGGGTTTCGGTTTCACATTAGAATTTCTTCTGCTGCAAAACAGTTGTTGCAATGAGTGATTCTTTGTTTGCCATCTTCTCCTTCTCCAGTTACCTGGTTGCATTTCAAAAGGATCGGCCCTTTGTCAGCGGTGATTTTGATCTTACGTTTGTTCCCTTTGCTCCTTCACCATCCTTGAGGAGAGGGGAAACCTGAGCCCTTGGGAATAAGGAGCTGGGCAGAGCAAGCAGGTTTTGTTCCTAAACGCAGGTGGTCTTTCTGCCTGTTTAGCAGAATAGTTGGATATCTTTGTGCTTTTGTCCTCCTGCAGCAACTCAGCATGTGCGGCCTTAGTCCTGGGGGCCGCCGTAGCTCCTGTTTCTGAGTTTCTGTGTGTTACTAGAGGTGAAGGTTGACGAAAGAGCAGTAATCATTATCCCACACCTGATACATAAAGTAGCTATAGGTCCTTTTCTGCTGAAATGTCCACTTTACCTCTGCTTTTACATGCATAGCTGTGATAGGGTTTTACATTACGCGAACTCAGTATGTCAAAGAAACACTTGAGTTTGGTCTCCAAATATCCCCTTTTTCCTTGGTGTTCACACCTGGGCTAACAGTGCTGTGAGCCTCTATGTGGTTGTATCACTGGTTCAAGGTGGTATGTTATGATCAACGGGTGAAAGCTGGGTATGTTTTATTGCACGTTCCTTGGTTGTGTGTCTAACAAGCCATCGTTTTCTTTTCCTTCCTCTTTTACGATGCAGCTGAAGAATAAATTTATGAAGAAATTGCCTCGTGATGCAGAGGCCTCCAACGTGCTGGTCGGGGAGGTTGACTTCTTGGAAAGCCCTTTCATTGCCTTCGTGCGGCTGCAGCAGGCAGTGATGCTGGGGGCTCTGACCGAAGTCCCCGTACCTACCCGGTAAGAGAAGTCAGCCCCGGGGCAGGTAACATGAATTGGAAACTGCCTTTCCACTGTTTCAAGTAATGGTACCAGTCTGAGGGAAGAACTTCTCTGTTGCTTGCTGTCACATAGTTGCATAAGGGGTCATAAATTTTACAGGATAATTGGTTTTAAAGTAACAAAACTGCTTAATCATTTTCAAATCCTGAATTTCCATGTAAAATATGAGCTGTAGAATACACAAACACACTTACTTAACGATAAAGATTTAACTATTCTTTTGTCTTCCTACCTCTCTGCTCCACTCAAGCCCTACACCCGAGTCAGATTTCCTCTGCATTTTTCTGTAGTACATCTCTTTTTTCCTAAAAACTCATATTAAATGAAGGAGGCAATTCTGACCCCGTTGAAAAAAAAATCAGATATATATGATAAAATCTCTGTATTACAGTCACATGCAGCATCTGTAATTCATAATGACTCGTTTGTATATTTGGTTTATTGTGACTCATTTTGTAAATTAAACTATAGGCTCCAATGTGAGTGTAGCTTACATTCCTCAATATTTGCATAACTTGGGGAAGTCAATGTATATAGCTACCAAATCAGCAAAGCTAAAATCTTGTTTAAATTCCTAGCTGTTACTCTTAATTGTACAGTCATACCTGGTTTATCAAGTGTCATACTGGAGAATAATATCATTATAAGTGTCTAGAACACTTGATGTACGTAAGCAACGTTTTATAGCATTTGCTGTCTGATACTTATATCAGGTGAAAGCTGTAAAAGGAATTGCTATAAAAGCTAATAAAAAGCTCCAAGAATGGAGCTCAGTGGAGTTGTAATGGGAAAGATGGAAGAGGCGGCGTGTGGGCAGCCGTGAAAGTTCTCCCTCCCCAGTCTGTGTCGCTCCGCGCCTGCTGTCCCTGCTCCGCACCTGGGCTCCCGCCCGCGTGTTGCTCTCCGCTTACACGGGCTTGGCTTTGCATTTGCCTGGCAGTTATGGGGCTCAGATTGCAGCTTGCGCATCATTAATGCGCCAATACATATTTTATGTGAACTTTTGAGACAGCTTTTGGTAGAGAGTGAAAGTCAAGTTACAATAACCTTGCTCCCAGCTGTTTGCACACACTGGGTTTTCTTTGAGCAATGTGGGGGAAATGAAGTGGCTTATTCGCAGCAAGGGCTATTCTTGATCCCTCTGCATCACCGAGCTCTGTATATTTTCGTGCTTCACCTTCTGAGTGTAGTCCCAGTTATTTCTTTTGTTAAATACATCTCAAAGTGCTCTTCAGCAGAGGTAGAATGAGGCACTCTTTGTTTTTGTAGTGGGAGCCAGGAAGTTAGTCCTAGGGTTGGATAACGCCCTCGTTATTCAACAGCATTAATCAAAAAAATGTGTCCTTCCATGCCAACATTTTTTTTTCCAGGAAATAGTATTATCCATCTGCCGTCCTCCAAACCAAATGTTAGCCCTAATCAAAGTCGTGAGGCTCATTAGATGGTTTTTGTGAGTAATGAAGAGCCATTCGCAGTGGCTGCATCCTGCGAAATTCAATCAAGGAAATCCCATAAGGGCCCAGGCTGGTTATGATGGAGTGGCTCCTTGTTCAGCCCTTAGTTTCAGCTGTCTTGCACAGCGAGTCAGCCCACAGCCTCTGGAAGATACTGCTGCTGGAGCCCTTCTCCTTCCTCCCTTTTTTCCCCTCAGGGTTTTTCCTTTTATTTTGATACAATGCATAGTTTCTAGTAAAATTCCCTAAACCTTGTCCTCAAAGTTGGTCCATTCAAAACTCTGTGGCATTTCTTGAAGAAAGGCAACAGCTAGTCTTGATAATTGGCTTCTTGGAGTACTGATAGAGGTAGAGAGAGAGGGCAGCCAGGGTTTCTCTTGGGCTAGTCATTGAGACTATTGATAATCAGCATATCAGCTGTGTAACCATTAGCTGGAAAAGTAAGAAACCTCTTAATGTAGAAGCAAATATGACACCGAGCCCTGGAAGGGTGAAAGAGTCACGGTATCTATAGTCCCTGCCCTGTTTTTGGTTTATTCGTGTTGACCTATCTATAGAATGAAAAAGGACTATTGGGTGTGCGAGGGAGATAGTATTCAAGACATAGACTTCCAGTTAAATAGGTTACTTATTTCTGTTGATTTATTTCTCTGCTTTATTTCTCTACTACTGTTCTTTGGCTTGGATTTTTAAGTTTTATAAGTTGCAGAGTTTTTGACAGAGTGAGATTTCCTGTGTAGAAATGACTCTTCCTTGGTGTAGTTTCTATATATTTCTCACACTTCCTTGCTGAGAATATTTTCATTGAAAGTAAAATTTTACTTCAAAGGAACCAGCAAGGTCTGATAAACTCTCCAGGAGAAGTTGTTGTGCGGAGTATTTTGGTACAGCTCTAACAATAAAAACTGCGGAATTGAAATTCCTTGGGAGAACTTGCAGCCTGTCCCTGCGACCCGCATCGTCTTGTTACTGATCAGACTCAAAAAGCCTGTAAGGACTTTGGGTTTCCCTTATTAAATTCAGCTCCACAGTGCTTTGAACTCCAGATTTTTGTAAGCACTTATGGATTATATTTGCTTTGCTATGGCTGCCTCTGCTCTGGACAGTTCAATAGATATAGCTCCTTATTCTCCTAAAATAAATGTACCATTGGCTGGTCAGGTCTGTTGCATTAATGTAAAGTCCGTGGGGAAAAAAAAGGTAAGGAATAAGCAAGGGAACAATTTTTGGAGGGCAGCTGTACAAGCTTGCCTGGTTTAATATGTAGGGCTGGGAAATGGCCTGTGCCTACAAGTCTCAAGTGAAATATGAAGTAACTTGCCCACGGTCCCTTGGGAAGCGTATGGCAGAGACAGAAACCAGGCTCCATTTCCTTGCCTCCCAACTGAAGGCGCATTTTAACTGCAGGTGTGCGTTTTCTTTTTGATACACGAGCATTTTCTTCATTCGGGGCACCGCTGGCGTTGCTTTCAGGGCTGCGTCAGCCCTTCTGCCAGCCGACTCGCGCTGGGAGATGTGGAGACCTGTCTCCCTTCGTCCATGTCCACGCGTTGGACGTGGCGCTAGAGGCCTGCTGGGGAGCGTGCCAACGCCTCGCCCCAAACTGTAGCTGTGTGGAACTGAAGAACCAAGCACTTCACCTCCTCCATTCCTCAGGGCAATCACAAGTTGTACCCTTTCGGTTAAGCAGGCCCCAGGCCGTGTTCCTCAGATTCTTGTGGAAAAGTAGGTCATGAGCTGGGCCTGTCAGCCCTGGAGACTGCAGGACCTGGCTGAGTTTCTTTTGCCCCTTATGAATTGCTGCTCCTGCCTTTTCCAGGTCTGGGAAACAGGCCTGGGTGAGCAGGTTGAACTTCAGTCTTGTTTTGGTCTCTGATCTTCCTCCTTTTTTTTTTTTTTATGAGGGACCCTGTCTCCTGCACTGTGGCAGTTTTCACCCCAATCCTCCGGGAACTCTGTAAAGACAGAGATAATGGATTTCTAACTGAATTTATCAAATGGAAAATATTAGTGCTTCACAGACTTGGAGCCTCTCCGTCTCTGTGGTGTGCACTCCTCACATCTCAGATGTGCTTCTCATGTGATCTTGAGGAGACATCTGGCCAAATTCTTCTCAAGCAGAGCACATGAAACTTTATTGCCTCTGTCAACAAACTGGATGGAAATTCTACCCTGCAGTGTCGGTGCTGTCTCCTGCCAAGGTCTGGGAGAGCTGTAGTCTTTCCTACTAGGCGGGTTGGCCCACGACCTCTGGTTGTGGGGCCTGCACCCAGTGTGGCTAAGGTGCTTCACTTTGGTCTTCTCAGTGCGTGGGCCAGCTTTGTGGTGCAGTGGTTGGTGCACGTTTTTCTGCTTGGAGTTGGAACTGCTCCTCTATGGAAAGAGGAATTTCTTCTCACGGGTTTTGGTGGTGTGGTCCGTGTGAATAAAATGTGAATCATACATACTTGGTGGTCATCAGCTGCTTTAAGAAGGATAAAACATGCAAAATGACAGAGGAATTGTACGGTAGGTAAAACAGGGTAATAAAAATACTGCTTTTTGGAGTCATTATTGGCTTGGAAGGAAGAATTTTGAGTACTTCAGGTGTTCTGGCATACAAAGTTCCACATTGAGTAGCTTGAGTGAAGCTAGGGCAGCCATCTCTGGCAGCTGTTGTCTCGAGCGTCCAGAAGAGAGGTTGAACGTTCCTCTTACTTTGGAGAGGCTTCAAGATAAGTGATATGAGGTGAAATCTCAGGTTTTCTGTGTTGAAGCTTGCCTAAAATTGTGAAAGATCAGAAATGAACGTTTGCTGGCTCAGAATATGTTGGGTAGAAAGGAATTCGCTACTACCCTTCATCTAGAAGATGAAGATACTGCAGCTATTCCATCGTAAAAAGGGAAATATGAGAACTAGAAATGAGGGCTTTCTTAGGGGAAAGTATTCATAACTAGGTCATAGTTAGTACAAGCAAACATAATCCAGTTTGAGACACTAAAATACATGAATGATTTTGTGCGGGGTGTGTGTGTGTATTTGTGTATGTATTTTGATATACATATTTATGCATATTTTATATTTAAAAGGTCTTGTTCAACAGACCAAAGGCAATTCTGGGTTAAATTGTTCACGACAAATAATTTAGAAAATGTCACAAACGACTGGCTATTTTTAAAAACATTTTAGTAAGTGCTGCAGTTTCAGATAACTTCTGCATTGCAAGAGAGCTGGTAATTTAATTATTTCAGAACATGTTTATGAAAATGTCTCATTCCCCTGAAAAGCCAGAAGAATGCTGAACAGCAACTTAGATCCCTTTTTTACAACTAACATACTTTTAAAAGGGCTGTCTGAGGAACATTCTTTAATGTTGTTTGATAATAACTTTAGAAAAGAGGTGGAATTCCTGGTGGTAGGAGGAGAGCAAGGACATAACCGAGGTGCTCATGGGTTAGTCACCTCCCTATGAACCTTGAATAAAAGACTTGAAAGCTTTACGCAAAACTTGATTAGGAAATCATAGTGTTAGCAATGCCAAGTCATACATAGCTGTGGATCCTGTCAAACTAACTTGATGAGGTTTTTTTTTTACAGGGCTTTAGATGTTTTTAATGGAAGAGAATTGGTGGATATACGACTTCATAAGACATTTGACTTAGCACTTCATGATATTTTGGCCTTGTTAAGGAAACTAAAATGATACTTCATCAATACAATGCTTAAAAGGGCAGCAGAGGTCCCTGAAGAGGACACACCAAGTGCTGTGACTAGTGTGACACTACAAATGTGCTGGTCAGACACAAGCTGAGTAGAAAAGGTAACTGTGAGGCCACTCCTTTTGCATTTCTGCCATCGGCAGTGCCCGTTTGGGACTTCTTCCCTTCTTGGTTACAGGTTCTCACAAAACTTGTAAGAGGAGCTCGATCACATTTGGTATCTCTGGGTCTATGTCTGTACAAGAGAGTCAAAACTTATGACTGGAAGCTGAAGCTAGACAATTGGCACTGGAAATAGTGCAAAAGGTTTTGGATGAGAGAACTTGCCCAAGGTTATGATGTGGTTATTTGCCATTATTGGCTGAGAACCGTTGCTGTACTTGGAGAAGGGCTGAATTCAGGAAACTTTAAAGTCAATTTGAGAAGCTCTTAGTGTGTCTGTTCTGAACACAGACTGACAGAGTTTGCTGAAAATTGCCCCAATAATTCCCACTCTTTGCTAAATCAGGTGAAATGGGAAAGCTGGTCTCCTGCCATGTACTTCTTTGGTTGCTAATTACAAGGTTGGTTTATGTTTAAGCAATGAAGATTTTTCTCTTAGGGTCACTCCTGAGAGTCCAGCTCTGGACGGACACTTGAAGTGGCACTGTCCACTGCGCATGATGATCTCCACTGGCACCCTTGGGCCACTGAACAGGGGCCGTTGCAAGAGAAGGCTTACAGATCTAACAGCTTTCTTAACAAGCCAAGTGGCCAGGCTGAGGTTTGAGCATGAAGACTGGTGCATTTTCAGCTCAAAGCGATAAACCATTTCCCTTCCTGGGATAGGGTGTTCTGTGGTGAGCAGTTGTTCGCTTGGCACCTGTCCACCGCATGAAGTCAACTTTAAAGCACTGCTCGTGTATGAAATGTTTTTTTGCCAGTTCAGCATGGATATCTTTTTATTTATGTTTTAGAAATTGGGAGTGTCTAAGATAAGACTTGGGTCTTTCCAGAATTAAGTAACATTTGAAGGATGATGCCTTCTTTTTTTATTTTATTTTTTCATTTTCATTCCAGCCCAGGAGAATCTAAGCACCTTTGAACATCCAACCATGAGGCTGTACTTAAAACTCTTTGTATGTAAATCATTTGAGAGGGTGGAAAATCCAACCACCTTTCACCAGCATTCCCGTTATTCTGGCAGAAATACTAGGCTTAATTCTATTGGCAAAAGCATCCTTTTTCTGTGGATAACCTTTCTATTAAGAGGTCTTATTAGACTCTTTTGTCATGGGAGCTCTGTCTTGTAGGAACTGCTGTACTAAGGGCAGGCAAGTCCTAATTCCTGGTGTGCTTCCCTCTTCCAAACCAGGTTGCCCCTGTAAGAATAAGCCCTCAGGTGAGGCCTTGCAGGACTCTGCGGTGTCCTGCAAGCAGAACTGCAAACTGTGCTGCATGGGCTTAATTATTTAAAGCTAAAACTCAATTAGATTAATGGTTTTCCTTCCCACGGGAGTGCTGCACCGTACGGAGATAGCAGCCTCAGCGGAGCATTAGTAAGTGCACGCTATCCAACAGCTCAGGCGAGATGTGGTTTATGGTGAGCCATGGGGACGTTTAACAGCATTTTCCTGCCTTCCCCGAGCGCATTTATCCCCTTGCCCTCCCAGCTTTGCTCGCTGCCACCCGAGTATCCCCTCTGTTGCTGTGCAGACCCTGCTCGGGCTGCCCAGGTCGGTCATGCGGGACTGTGACCCCGTTTGCTTGTCGGGGTCTCCAGGCTACTTTTAAGGCTTGTGAGGAGGAAAACGCTGGGGAGTGTCGTGCCCATGAGTGCCCAGGCTGGCAGGATGCAGCCTCTACTCCAGGCTAGCTAGAGTGGCACATACAGTGTTGCTTAGAGAAATAAATACAGTGGGTAAGAAGCAGTAAGATAAGAAACTGCTTATAAACACAGATTAGCCCTGGTATCCTCTGGATCTCTAAGAAGTGCAATCCACCCATTTTTTTAATTAAATTTTTATATTTATAAGCAGTAAGTGATCATTTTCCTATTCTAAATGCAATCACTTTGTTCATTTTGTCAGATTTCTGTTCATTCTACTGGGACCTAAGGGCAAAGCCAAGTCCTATCATGAGATCGGCCGAGCCATCGCCACTCTGATGTCTGATGAGGTAGGTGTCTTTGCCTCTCCTGGGTGAAATGGGTTATTCTTTCTTGCCTAGCTCACAGTGATCCCCGTTGCTCCAGCATGGTTCGGTGGCATGCACGTGAAGCTGCAGCATCTAAATGTCATCTCCTAATTCCATCTCTTTGCATAATTGATTCATCTGTCTTCACACACTGTAAAAGCATGAGCCCAGGGAGGTTTGGTCCATCAGGCCTGTCCCCAACTAGCAGTCACTCTTTCAAAGACACTTTGTCTTCGCGTGGGGGCCCTCGTCTGTGCCGTGAGCCTGGAGTCACATTCCCTGCGCACGGTGACCTGCTGCTCCGCGATGCAGGTAATTACTGCAGAAATGCCTACACCTGCATCTACTGCTTTGTGTGGCACAGGATCCCAGAGCTCTTTCTAATTCACCCAGTGGTTATATATTATCCATGAGCAGCTAGCAATTACTCGCTAATCATGCACCTCAATAAGAGCACTGGACTTTCCATATTCATTTACGGCCTCTTTCTTGCAGTGTCTCTCGGGCTCTGTGCGTCTCTGCTGATTTACTTGATGTTCTTTTTCTCGCTGTCTCCTTCTGCTCTTTTGTTCCTCCTCAGTTCCCTTAGTTACCACTCACCCGATCCCAGCTTCTGTTTTCTGTCATTCTCCACACTGTGCTTGGAGCAGTGGTGTCGTTTCCATAGCCCCAAAATCCTCTCTTCCCCTGCCACTGACTAATTCTTTTTAAATTTAATCCTTTGCTATGTGTTGATTTGCCTTCACTGCAAGTAGTCCAAAACATTCGGGTAAAATTGAGCTAGCGTTCTTTTTTTCTCTCTTCTCTCGTTCTCTTTTCATCACTAACACTCATCCTTTCATTTCTCTTTCTGCTCATCAGTAAAACCAATTATTATTTCTTGTTCTTATTTTTGAGGAAATGTCGTCATTGTTTCTATTTCACAGAGTTCACAACTAACCATTTTTTGATAGACTGGATAAGGCAGGAAGAAGAGGGCTCATGTGTCCTTGTCCTTTTTTTTATAGTGTCCCCACAAAGCGCAATTGAAACTCCTCATTTACTGAAAACTGCTTTTGCTGGACCAAAGAGTGATAATTACACTGGTAGCACTTTGGATAAAGGTTAAAAACGCACCTTTTCAAAAAAAAAAAAAAAAAAGGTTTGCAAGAAAAGCATCTTTTTCGTTAACCAAACAACCAAAGATAAGGGTTGAAAAAATTTGACCCTCCCTTACTGAGGTTAACCCACCACAATGCCAAGTGTCCTGACACGTTCTGGGGAAAGTTTTTGCGACTGACGCTGCTATTTTTGTGGAGTGCAGCTCAGCAGCTGCTCCTGGAGCCTGGGCTGCAGGAAAGGCACAGCTTTGCTCCACGGGGGCTCTCTCTCGTGCAGGTCTTCCATGACATTGCCTACAAAGCCAAAGACCGGCAGGACCTGATTGCTGGGATCGATGAGTTTCTGGATGAAGTCATTGTGCTCCCTCCTGGGGAATGGGATCCGGCCATTCGGATAGAGCCACCCAAGTCTCTGCCTTCCTCAGATAAAAGGTAAGGACACCGGCAGGGTCATCGCTGTGGTGACAGCAGGACAGCGTGCGCCGATTCTGGAAGGCTGACAGAAGAGCTGCTGCTTTGGGTACACGGGGAGGCTGCGTGAGGCTCGTTTGAAGGAGCTCAGTGCGGATTTGGTCAGGTGCGACCCCGAGTCTCAGCGTGGCTTGTCCTCTTGCCTAGGAAAAACATGTATTCCGGGGGAGAAAACGTCCAGATGAACGGAGACACCCCTCATGATGGAGGACACGGAGGTGGGGGCCACGGCGACTGCGAAGAACTGCAGCGAACGGGCAGGTCGGTACAAGCTGCTCCGCGGGGCCGTGGTGACCAGGTCTCCCTCCTAGAGCCATTGAAGCCGCCTCAGTGCCTGAGGCCTTACGGCCTGCGTTATTGCTCGAGGGGAAGGTTCACAGAAGTTCAGCACAGCCAGACTGCAGCTTGGGTGGGGATCCATAAAACAGCTTGCTTAGCAGTCCAGGGGCAGTCCACAGGTTTTGTGAGCATTTGGGGAGATTTTAGTGGAGGGAGGAGAAAAATCCTCTAAATTGGAGGAGAAAAAGTCCACGAGCCTGAACTTGCACTTGGGAGCAAATAGAGCAGCTGATGGTTCCTGATGATGGGTTAGGACGTGCCAGGTGCTCTCCTGGCAGCGGCCCCTCTGAGCGCAGCAGCACGGTGGGTGCAGGGCTCCCCGTCACTGCACGGCCTTGGAAGTGGCTGAATCGCGGGGATTCCTCCTCTAACACCCCAAGCTGGTGCTGCTGAACACCATATTTGAGCATCGTGTTTCATATGAGACAGATACTGTCCTGTCTGTGCTTGCTCAGAAAGAATCTTCAAGTGGAGCTCTTTTGCTCTGCAAGATGATTTCACTTACTTATATTTTAAGTCCCAGTTCTTTTGCTGGTTAGCAGTTTGAAGTATTTTTCCATTTAGTAAATTGTTTGGCTCTCTCCACCACTGTGTCTGCCATATGGAGAAATTTAGGCGAGGGTTTAGATGAGAGTTAATATATTTTATTACATCAACAAATGTAGTTGGGAAAAAAAAAAGACCAACCTGCAAACTTTTGTGGTCTGTTTGAGCAGAAGGAGGGCTTGTGTTCCCGAAACTAGTACGCTTTCCAGCTGCATCCCATGTTCAGTATATTGTTTTTCTTTACAATAATATCTCAGTGATATCCCTGGATCATCACAGCTGTGGTGGAACTATCATGTAATGTGATGACCTCACTTCTTTCAGATCGTCCTTCATTTCTGGTCATGCTTTTGATTACTTACCTCAGTGACTTTCACTGTAAAACCTGTAATACAAGTCTTCTCTCTCACTTGCCCTTTCAGATTCTGTGGTGGCTTAATCAAAGACATAAAGAGGAAAGCACCCTTCTTTGCCAGTGACTTCTACGATGCTTTAAACATTCAAGCCCTTTCAGCCATTCTTTTCATCTACCTGGCCACAGTGACCAATGCTATCACGTTTGGAGGACTGCTTGGGGATGCTACAGAGAACATGCAGGTAAGCAATAGTTCTTGTAAGATGGACCTGCATTGCCTCTTGCTGTCCACAAAACCAGCTTTTAGACAGAAGGGTATTTGACCACTTCCAAAACTTTAATTCTGGGTTCAGTTAATACAGATCTGCAGCATTTCCCCTGAAAACTGGCTCTATTTCAATACTGTCTGGACTGCTGTCCTTGGAGAAGTAGCACAGGCAGTTACCTTAAATGGTGTTTGAAAGATGGCCAGGCAACAGACAAGAGTTTAGTGAAGATCCTTGCTCCTTCTATGTAGAGAAGTCCCTCAGATCTATGTTCTGTGTTTGTGTCTTGGTTGTGCTGTTTCTGTCAAATGAGGTTTACTAAGTCTGATTCAGACTTTCCATCTCATCAGAGCACAGCAGTGTATCTTTTGCCTGACTCTTGCAGTGCCTGGACTTGTGCCTCCCTATAAAAAATACTGTAGAAGAAAGCAAGGGAATTCAGAGGTGTAATACAGGGGGAAAAAAAAGGCAAGTTTTTTCAAGTGATGAATTTAGTAATCATGCAAGGTGAAATCCTGGCAACCAGAATGCATATGCAGAGACAGACTTCCCCGTGGCAGGGGTAAAGGCAGGAGCAGGGGCTTGAGGACCTGGCTCCGTTTTCTCTGGAGCAAAGGGTTTCTGCTTGAGCACTGCTCTGGCTTGTGTTGGTTGGAGCAAAACAAGTCTCTAGCTGTGTGCTTTAGTAAGCCTCCAGCTTTTCTTTTTCTTTGAGAGGAAGAAAACATGAAAGCTCGTGTTTACGTAGAGTCAGTGCAGCCATTCTGAGTGTCCTCACACTAATTACGCTGGTCGCGACAAGGACTAAATTATTTGTGCAGATTTAATGTAAAACACATGTAGAAAAAGGGAGCACCTGTCCAGGGAGGAGCTTCCCTCGCCTGGCACCAGTGTGTTTTTCTTCTTCCAAATCCCACCTCTGGGGCAGTCGTGCTAGCAGATGCACGACCCTCAAAAGAAACAACACCAAATAGGAAGGAAGTGCTGCTAAAGCCGGGCAGGCTCTGGGAGAAGAGCTGTTATCCCGTTATCCCCGGCTCCCGAAGGGCCCCTCGGAGACGTGCTAGCCAACATGCTAGCCCGGGCTCTGGGCTCGCTGCAGTCCTTCCAACATTTGCCTTGAATCTCAAACACGGCACAAAGGGAACTGCCACCGAGGGGGACGCCGCGGTGTCCCGCAGAGGGAAAGGGAGGGCACAGCCACAGCGGCGGTGGCATGTTTGTGTCCTGTGCTTGGCAGAGCCTCCGTAGCGCAGCATTGGTGTCAGCTGAGGAGCTACCCTGTGAAGTTTTCCTCCCAAGCACCCTGTCCATCCTGCGTGGCCGCTCTGCCCACACGAGCAGTTTTGGGAGCGTGCTGAGCCACGGAGCTCAGCACGCCAGTGTCTCCAGAGCAGGAGGATCCAACACGCTCCTCAGCTGCTCTCTGCTGCGTGCAACCTGGCAGATGCTTGCGGACCCTGCATCTGGAACTGCTATTCTGAAGCCACATTTGTGGCAGAAAAGCAGGCAATGATGGTGTTGGACGAAATCCTGCTCGGCATTTAGCGAAGGCAAAGCTTCCTGCTTTGCACAGTCACATAGTGGCGTGACGCATGGCAGTGTAACACACTTAATGATGTTTTGCAGGAGCAGTCAATACCCAACCTCCATCCTCTTCATTTCTCTTGCTGCTCTAGCTGTTGTAGAAAAGCAGGCCTAAACACTGGACTGTTAGGCATGGGGCAGGAGCAGTCAATACCCAACCTCCATTCTCTTCATTTCTCTTGCTGCTCTAGCTCTTGTAGAAAATCATGATAGCAAAAGGCATTTCACTTAAAAGGTGGCTATTTTTCTCCCTCTTGTTGTTCCTTTCAAACTCAGTGAAGTATGAACATAGCTTAGTCTGCACAAGAGCAAACAAGGTAAGGTCCACCTCATTCTGCCACTTTCGTAGGGCAGTGCGTGCACTGTCAATAATTACGTTTTATTGGCAAGAAAACACGCCACTTACATTGCATCCACATTTTGCATCTTAAAAATAGCTGTTGCTGTTGTCCAGCTATAACTTACATGAAGATCCAAGAACACACCCTCATTTATCGTTCCCTAGTGAAGCCATTTTGCCACGTATGCCAAAGGTAATTGCAGAGCCAATTAAATACGGAATTTATTGCTCACTGGTGACACCTTAAGAAGCTTGGTCTCCACACAGGGCTGTTGGATGAAGTAGCCTCATTTGGTGCGTTTCTCCCCAGCGAAGCCAAGAGAGGCATCTTGTTTATCTGGAGGGAGTATCTGCTCCAGCAGAGAGGAAAGGCCCTGTGTCTGGGAGCGCCGCGCACTGCCGCGTCCGTGTGAAGAGCCGTGCGGGCAGCCCCGGGGCGCGGGAGCCTCCGGCACTCTCCCATGCTGCGAGTGTGCAGCACTAACCTCTGCTGCACTGTGTCCACTGCAGGGGGTCCTGGAGAGCTTTCTGGGCACAGCGGTGACCGGAGCGATTTTTTGCCTTTTTGCTGGCCAGCCACTCACCATTTTGAGCAGCACAGGACCCGTCCTTGTCTTTGAGAGGCTTCTCTTTAATTTTAGCAAGTAAGTACAGGGGCGGAGATGGGTGGAGGGGAGGGATGGCCCACACGAATGAAACACCAGCCAGGGAAGGAGCGGGTTGGCTGCGGGGATGTAGCTCGTGAAATGAAACTCCCATTTGGTCCTTGCCGAGGTGTCCGTGAGGCCACACGTGGGATTTCCGTAGACCACAGCGCTGCCTGGTGCGTTGGGTGCGGATCTTCTTGGGAACCCTTTGCCAAGCCTGCGCTGGCAGGGAAATTTCACTCCTTTCGCTCAAGGCTCTCTTCCTCCCCGAGTGCTCTGCATTTCCCCTGGCATCGAGGACAGGCCTCCAGCAGGGGTTTTCCTAACAAAATCTAACAGCTGTCCGGGGTACCAACATTTGTGCTTTTGTGATAAGAGCTGTTATTCATAAGAGCGGAGCATAGATGGCATGAACAGATAGAGACCATTATTTGTCCCCGGAAGTCCTAGGTGGATATTTGCCGTATTAAATGTTTCTGTGTAAGGAGATTCTGCTTTTACCCACTGTTTTAACGTCCGTGCTGTGATAATGTGTAAAACCCAGAGCTAAAGGGGGCCTGCTTTGGTACAAATTCACTTTTTTGATGCCAGCAAAATAGAGTCCCTAAACAAATTGGTATATTCTCTGGTAATTTCGCACTGAGCACTACCAGTATTTTTGGATGATGTTTAAAAGGATGATTTCGTGTTAAACAGAAAATACCCCTCCCATCGGAGAGAGCTCACAACACTGTCAATTGTGGAGGACTCACATTTTACAACATGATATGAGAAGTATTGGGGTTTAAGGCAAACTGGGCTTTCTTCGAAAAGCAGCTGCCCATAATGCAGAGCAGTTCTTTTGCTGTTAGTAGCTATTTTTAGAGAAGGCCTATTGAATTATTAAGCTTGAGCATGGTTGCAGGTTGCTACAAGGCAGGAGGCGTGAGCTGTGTTTGGTCGTTTAATTGCATTTCCTTCATTATATTGCATCTGTGCGGGTAGCTGCTCATCTGAGTTGGTAATGTAGAAAGAACTGAGAGGATAGAATATGACCAGGTCTTTCCTATGAGTACCGTGCACTTTTGAGAAGCGCAGACAGACCTGCAGGTGGTGTATTTATTTAAGGTCTGCTTTTGCAGTGCTTTTAGGGTGAGATGGTTTTATCTGGCACCTTCCTAAAGGGCAGGATGAAGCGGGCACAGTCTGGGTCTGGTGGCACGTTGTAGAGGTCGGTACGCCTTGATCCCCAGTGCTGTGGGGTTTGGAGGCTCTGCGGATTCCCCCCGCTCCTTGGGTCCTCCGACACAGAGCCACGCTCGTGCCTGCACAGGACAGAGCTTTGTCTTGCACGAGAAGATACCGCAGGGAGGCTTCCTGCCCCTCTTCCTTCTCCTTGCAGCCAGGACGAGGCTTTCTGTGGCTTTGGAGGGACAGAGTGGTTATTTTCCTCCTGAAAAGTAGGTGGTGGTTATAAAAGCTGTTGTTCCAACGCCTGCCGGAGCAAAGCAGCAGGTTCCATGGAGAGTCTCTTTCACAAGAAGATTGCAGTTGAGCGCTGTGTTTTTCAATAATGCATTTGCGGTCATTTTTATTCACAACAGCCTATTCCACGCTGGGAGCAAAATTAGAAACACTTCCCATCTACTGATTCATCGAAAGTTCGACTCTGGGCATGAGCTGGTATCTGAGAGAGCTTCTGTTAAATAACAGCCAGGCTTCCCAGAAGAAAGTCAGACCTCAGCATGATCATGGCCTTAGCTAATGGCTCAGTGCAGGTGGGGGCAGCACATCCAGAGAGCCTCAAAAACCACAGGTCCCAGAGGCTGCACATTTGCCGTTTCTCACTGCAAAGAGCTAACTCTGCACGGCGTTGTCTGACCCCTTGTGTTTCCCTTCTTGTTCTCTCTACCCTGCTGCAGAGACAACGATTTTGACTACCTGGAGTTTCGCCTCTGGATTGGTCTCTGGTCAGCCTTCCAGTGTCTCGTTCTGGTTGCTACTGATGCCAGCTTTCTGGTGAAATACTTCACCCGCTTCACCGAGGAAGGCTTCTCCTCCCTCATCAGCTTCATCTTCATTTACGATGCTTTCAAGAAGATGATCAAGCTGGCAGATTATTACCCAATCAACTCCCACTTCAAAGTGGACTATATCACACATTACTCTTGTGCCTGCGAACCTTTAGATCCAGGTGAGCGAAAGTTTTATTAGCTCTCTAAGTTGCAGAAAAAAGGTCTCCCTTACTTTCTCGTGGTGTCGTGCTGCTGCCGAGGTAGTAAAGGGATGGCTCAATCCTCCTTTATCAGTTGTCTTCAGATAACTTACGTTAGCCTTATTTTTGAAGGCAGCATGGCGTACTTACAGAATCACACAGAATCACAGAGGTTGAGGTTGGAAGGGGCCCCTAGAAATCATCTGGTCCAAACCCCCTGCTCAGGCAGGGATGCCTTTGCATGAGTCCATGCTCAAATGGCAGATTGGGAAGCGTTTGGAAACTACAATTACTTGGATTTAGGCCAGCCTGCTCTGTAGCTATATGCATGGTGTTGCCTTTAACAGCCACATTCCTCCAGCTTCACCCTCAGTGGTAACTGGAATCTCTTTCTAGCCCTCATTCCTGGGACACTCACGTGTGGGTCAGTGGAGAGTCCAGCTCTATCCTTGTCTCCTCGCATCCCTGCTGTCACTCATTTTGCCTGGCAGTTTCTGGGAAGGCGGCGAGGGGACCGAAGCAGTGGTTGGGGCACTGCAGTGGGTCAGTCCCAGGATCTGCTGGACCGTTCTGCCGAGTGCAGGTGCTGCGTTTATTCAGGGTGTTACCCAAACGTGCATGGCTCACACCTCCTGCCTACGTGGTTGGTGAAGGAGAGCAAATAGTTGCTCATGGAAGCAGGTGGGAAGTCAGGCCTCCCGCTGGCGCGTGGGCCACAAGACAAATATTCCCAAAGCAGAGAGCTGCGACGGGGAACAGAGGCTGCAGAACCCAAATACACACAGGCGTGTGCCCAATTCCCCATTGGGAAAGTCGGAACCGCCCCTATGTTCCCTCAAACAGCAAGGCCCGAGCGAGAAAGTTGGTCTAGGCTCAAAGTAAACTCAAGGTTACCTCAGCGCAGCTGCCAGGCAGGGGGAGCGGCGGGGAGCCTAGCGCCTGTTGGCAAAGCGCGGCAGGACCTGGGTGTGCTGAAGCTCTGAGTTTACCGTAGTTACCGACTGCAAGGAGAGCGGTGCTGCTCCCGTCCTGCTCCTGTTCCAGTGGGAAGGTGTTTCCCTCCTGGCAGCTGAGGAATTGGGCCGGTGCGGAACGGTCCTCGCTGTCACCCCGAGGGGGCAATGCCGAAACACAGGTCTGAGCTGGGCAGGTCTGAGGGAGAAAGGAAATGCTCTGTACGCCTGGCGCATCCTGCAAGTGTAAAAGCAGAGGGAATTCCGTGTCCCGGCTCGGCAGCACGAGCCTCCTCCATGGCGAGGGCCTTTTCCCCCTTTCCCCTTGTCCGTCACGCCTGGCATGGTTGGAGTTGCTGGGAAAGGAAACAAATGGGCCCTATAGGGTACGGAATAAAAGTTAAATATCCTCACCGGACAGGCAGGTACTTGCAAAGTGTTCATGAAACACGGGAATGTGCTGCTTGAATTGAATTTTTAAATGTGCTTTTTTTCCATGTTTTTTTTGATGTCTTTTGGGGGAGTAGATCCTTTGATGTTTATTTTAATCCAGAAAATCTTAGGAAAATACTGCAAAATCAGAAAAAAAAAATGATGTATTGTCTGTCTATATGTTTTTTATCTTCCTTTTTTTTTTTCTTTACAGTGAATTCCACAATAAAAAAATCAGTTTGGAATACACTTTTCTTACCAACTTTTTTTTCTTAAGTGCTTAATGACCAACGCTTTTGAGTCACTCAGAAGCCATACTTTAGACCCACTTAACCGGAGCACCGAGATTGCAACTTGATGCCCTTTTACGAAGGTCTAGAAAGGAGTGATCTAATAGCTTAGATGGGCTTTCGGCAGCCCGCTCACAGTCCTTGTGTTTTTATGCTCTCTTGCAGTTAATAGTTCGTTATTTAATGGGACAAGCGTGCTGTCAGTTGAGGGGCTGCCCTACTCCTCCACTGGGATGGTAAGTGCGGCTTCCAGGAAGTGTCCGTGTGGCGTCCGGGGGCAGCTTGGCCTCCCTCCGCTCCTGACACTTGCACTGTGCAAAGAGCAGCAGTCCAGCCCCAGCAGCAAGAGAGGAAACTAAATCGAGGCCTGGAGGTGTGAAAATAACCCCTGAAGTTGCATTTGCTGACGGTTGGAATGGTTCCATTTCTTGGAACAGAACCTCAGCATCTCAGGCCCCTGTGCCCAAGCTCCCTGCTGTGACACCTTCCCCGCCACTTGGCAGGGAGGTTGGCATCTCCCAGGCGGATTTTGAGAAGAGCCGGGGGCCACAGTGTCCCGGTCTCTGCCATGGTCCCGGCCTGGGCATCACGGCTCGGACCTCATGTTTTCCCCCACGCACATCAGCAAAATGAGCTGTGCCTCTTTGGATCCACAGAAAGTGCCGCGGAGGCTGCAGTCACTTATGGGCAGGCTTCTGGTAAACTTTGCTGGACTTCCTAACTGAAGATTTTGCTTGTTAAGAACAACTTTTTGTACTTCACACTTTTGCTTCGAGGGCATCCCTTTGGGGCAAATTTCACACTGGTCTGAATTAGTTTATTTCTGCATTTGTGATAAGTTTTTTACAGCTAAAACATCTCGTTGTATGTATTCATTTTGGATACTTTAAGATATTCTCTCTAATTTGATGACTTGCAAGAGTATTATTTTCTTCATTTGGGCTTTCACACAGAAAGGGAGGAGTAGAGACAACATGATTTTAAAACTCCCCAGATTGCCAGATGTAGGTACCAAAAATTACGTTGAATTTTACTCGGCTTTAATATATATTTTCTGAATTCACATTCTCCTCACAAGATGATGCTCCCTGCGCCTGTCTCAAATAGACTCAGGAGCTCACTGATATATGCACGTTTGTAGTCCTGGCATTGCTATGAATTATGCAGGCGTGGGGAGAGGAAAACACGCTTCCTTGGGCTCCGCTTTGCTAGGAGCATTAGGAAAGAGATGATCATCTAGCATGGCCTGCGTGGCTCTGGATTCCACAATGAGATTTTAAATACAAATAGTGTCTCCCTGCCTGGCAATTAGAGTCAGTTGTCATTAGTGACAAAGCCTCTGCACCAGTGTAGAAGCAATTAGAGGGAATTGGAGCTCGGTGATACCACAGGGAAGGGACCCACGGGGCTCTGTGAAGCCTGTGGGCGCCGTCGAACTTGTGGCCGTTGCGGTGAGCCCCGGTGGGAGAGCTGGGGCTGTAGGAGGTTTCTGCAGCAAGGGGCAGATTTTCCCAGCTCTGCTATGCCCCCACTGGCACGGGCAGGGTCCGGACTTGGCCTCACGGGGATGTCCTCTCTGCTCCGCAGTACAACAGCACCCCGGACTGGGCGTCCCTGACCAAGAAGGAGTGCCTGAAGTACGGAGGACAGCTTGTGGGCAACAACTGCAAATACGTCCCCGACATCACCCTCATGTCTTTCATCCTCTTCTTTGGCACCTACACCTGCTCCATGGCCCTGAAGAAGTTCAAGACCAGTCGCTATTTTCCCACCACTGTAAGTTTGTCCTTTCCTCCCCGCAGTGTGTCCCTTTACTCCTTCAGAGGGCAAAGTTAGAGCTGCAGCATGCAGACACAGGTGCTTTGTAGGAAAGCACAAAAAGATGCTTTTGTGAGGATAAAAGCGTGGCACTCATTAACCAAGGTATGCCCTGTAGTTGCTTAGCTTTCACTCTTTTCCTCCACTGCATGGGAGGAAGGCACACGTAAGTCAGCAGAAGAGCCAAAGTCTGTCATTGGGATGTGACAACGATGTTGAAAGTACTGAAGGCAACAGTTCAAAGCTAAGAAATGTGTTAATACAGTTTAGCACAGCTTTCATGTTACCATTTAGCATGTGAAATGCTCAAAAATTAGTGCAAAACTGTTGAACTCGGCTGTGGTCTATGTCTGGCCTACCTGTCACAGTATAGACTTGCAAGAGAAACGCTACTTCCTTAGGACCAGATGTGAAATAAGGAGGTCCTCAAAATCTTTGCATTGATTTAAATGAAATTTTGCTCAGACGTCGAGACAACTTATGCGCATCTCAAGTAGCTCCACAGACATCTGCTTGTTCTGTCTCCCCAGCTAAAGCCGCCACAACAGCTGGGAAAGGTATTAAGGCAGAGCAGAAAAACAGGCCTTGCACGTGCACGTGGCTCAGCTGAAGCACCCTGGGCTGGAAACCCTGCCCTGGCCAGGGCTGAGCCTGTCCCCCAGGCTGACACAAGGCAGACACACGAGCCGTGTGTCGCAAGGCCGCTTTCCTTTGGGAAAGCTTTCCCCCGTTTTTGGCATTCTGACGTGCCAGGATTTATCCCGCATGGATGTTTACTGTCCTGCAGTGTTAGAATTGAACCTCTGTTATTTCTAATAAAAAACAAATTGCATGCAGGCTGGAATGCAGCTCGGTTTAGCTGTAGCCACGTGAACCGTGGCAGCCTGGAAGCAGCAATGTTGGAGAGTTCCCGCAGGGGGTTGCGGACAGGCACGATGGGTCCTGGGCACCCAGATCCCGGGCCTGAGCAGTGAGAGGTTCGACTTGTCAGAGCCCCCTTGATTTCAGGTGCACTTGAGCATTAACTGAGGAGCCTACTTTGTTTTCCTCTTTCGGTAGCTTCCTTATTTGATCAGAAATAATGTAATCTATGCCACTCGTAAAAAAGGGAGATTGATTGGTTCTTTTCTATACCACTACCTGGTGCAAAATGCCATTTCTTCTCCCTTTCCCTGATTCTTATCTGCTTTGTGCTTTAATGTGCTTTAAGGCACATTAGAAGAATGGAGTCTCAGTATTTTTTGTGTTTTCAAGACCATAAGCTTCAGGAATCCTGAGATGACATGAGAAAGAAGTCTCTGGCTCTGGTGATATCACAGAAAGACACAAATATATGAACCCTCAGAAATCAGAGGTCAAAAGACAAATGGAAGAAGCCAGCATTTAATATCTGTAGGAATGTCACTGTGTTTTCAATTTGATTCCTAAATGATCTGTATTTGCCAGTATTGGTTGATCATGAAAGCTCTTTCAATGTGACCATGACGAATCAGGAAAATGTGTGTCTAGGAAATAAAAAAGAAACCCATATTGTTTAAGAAGTATTCCTGAGGTCTGAGTGGCTTAGCCACCTCTAGGATAGTTTTGGATCTTCTGTAAAGAAAAATCTATCTTCAGTTTATTTCCAGCTACTGGGTGGAAATGGTTAAAGGTACTGGTGGGAAAAAATGGACCAGGGCAAAAAAACTGTGAGGAAATGAAGTTTCTATTTACAGGTTAATCATTGCAGTCTGGTAGGGTAGCAAAGCCTAGATCTTTGATGCTGGTGGCTGTGGTCACATCGGCCCCATGTATTTGGCCTACAGCTACTCTTTAAATCCATATGTAGATGGCTTCAAGGGCCAGAAGGAAACTCCAGGGCAGTTTCTTAAGATAAAGGGCTAGAACGAAGGGGCTGTGCAGTAACCAGTTTAGCAGTTAATGAGACCCAAAGGTGCTGACAGGCATCAAGACCCAGCACACTGGCAGCTAGTTGCCTGCTTGCTGAGGTAAGAGTAAGTGCGGCCCGAGTCTGCTTTGGAAAACGCCTTTCCTGTCCACTGAGCTACAGCAGACAGGGTCCAAACAGGGTCCTCTACCAAAGGTGTTTGAGAGGAAGTGATTTACTAAGGAAGGGGCCAGTTCTTCTCGCCAGGATTGTCACAAGCCTTTCAGACACTGGCATGGAGAAGGGGGCATCCACGCCGGTGAGGACTGCTTTGAAGAATCCCTGTGGGAATTTCTTGCAAATGCTGTTTTCTTTTTCCTTAGGCTTATTTTCGTTCTTCCATTTAGGCTTAGTTGTTTGGCTTTCAGATGGCACAATAACGTCCCCAAGGCTCCTGGAGGAAAATGGCACCAGGTGTTACAGTGTGCACCTTTGCACCAAAAAAAAAAGAAACCTTCAGCTTGTATTGCCACCAAACCCAAAGCTGGGGGATCGCATTGATATGGAAGCAGCTCTTCATGGTACTGACTATTCTTCTGGTATCCACTTCTGTTTCAGGCCAGGAAGCTCATCAGTGACTTTGCCATTATCCTGTCCATTTTGATTTTCTGTGGAATAGATGCCCTGGTGGGTGTGGACACCCCAAAACTAATTGTGCCAAGTGAATTCAAGGTAAGGTTTCCTTTTCCACCCACCTGTCCTGTATAAAATCACTTGACCCAGAAGAGCAAAGAAGTCAGCTCTCTGGAAAGGACCGTTTCACTTGATATCCCTTTCATTAGTACTGTTTCGCTTGGTGGATTTGTCTTCTAATTCATGCTTCAGCCCTTTGGAGACAGGCCCAGCTTCTCCCACCTTTTCTGGGCAGTGCAGGGTCCTATTCCAGGACTCCTGTAAGCCGTGTTTCTGCTTAGTCATTTGGCATTTTAGAAAAGCTGCTCCAAGGTGCTTGTCCTTGGAAAGGCTTCCTTGTAACCTTGTTGCTGATCAGCTCGCAAAAAGTCATCTATATTAGCAATTCCAAATTTCTAAGAGTATTTCATTATTGTTTATGGCAAGAATTAAATTGTCACAAGCCTCAAGTGTCTCCCTGTAGCCATTAAAGGGAAGGGAGAGTCCCACTGCTGCAAATGTAAATGGGTTTGTACTAAGATAAACTCACTTTTACATTACCACTAATACAAGCTTTCCTGTCCTTTCTCTTAAAAGCCAACCAGTCCCGAGAGGGGCTGGTTTATCCCACCTTTCGGAGGGAACCCGTGGTGGGTGTACCTCGCTGCAGCCATCCCTGCACTGCTGGTGACCATCCTCATCTTCATGGACCAGCAAATCACAGCTGTCATCGTCAACAGGAAAGAACACAAGCTCAAGGTGAGCCCTGACGTGGGGGCAGAGGCCACCTTTGGTGGCTCCTGGAAATATTCTGGCCTTTCCTTGGAAGGCCTGTGCTCTTCAGGTGTACATGTGAGCAAGGCATCATATTTTTTATGCATGTAGGCTATTCAAAACTTCTCGTGTTGACATACTGATCCAAACAGCACCTTACTATCTTCAGAGCCTTATTACTGCTGCAACTATATTCCTGGAGGCAGAACAGGTCCGTCTCAGTTGGAAGACTGGATGAAAGTCATTTCAGGCTCTGCTAATTCTGATCCCAGAGGTGTGTTTTGCCTCGATAATTCTGCAGGACTCTGCCTTCTGAAGAATTAAGATAGGAAAGAGGCCGTGCATCTACCCAACAAACACATATAAATATGTGGGTTCAGGGTAGATGCATGCGCTCTTTCCTGTTTTAATAGTTGTATGTGTTGTAGTTACATGTGTTTGTTGACTTTCTTCGTCCATCTGGCGTGCTCTGCACTTCCAGTAGGAGATGAGAAATGGTTCAATTAAACACTGTCAGGAACTGAGGAGAAAGAAATCTTATGTTCTTCACAGTGTCTGCCTGAAGAGGGTGAATGCATGCTGTCTGCCTGGCTGTGTGTATGACTGAGAGCATCCATCCCTTTGAAACACATCCCTAAGTCTGATGTCTGGAGATTCCTAGGAAGGACAGGATGTTTTCCAGTGAGGATCCTTGTCAGGCTTACTTTCTACCATTTTTTTTTCCAACAAGAAATATGGAAAGCTGCTTGGGCCAGCATAAGGCTCTCCTTTTTGCCTTACAGCTGCTGAGCAAAGCTTTTGGGTTTTGGTAGTGCTGGTGCTTCCAAACAGCATTTCACTTAAGTGATTTAAGAAAATAGTTTCAAATTTAAGTTCAGCTAACTCAGACCTCTCCTTAAGCATCAGATGGTTCCTAGCAGCTCATTTCCTTCTGCCCCCTTCCTCCCTCCAAGACACTGGCCTCCTCTCTGTCCTCTGCTTCTGTTTTCGAGGAGAGGAAGCTGCCCTGGTTGTGGTCAGCTTTCCCTCTGCGGTTCTGCCCCACGTTACAAGGCGGGATCTGATTTTTCCCAGATTTCTGCAGCTGAGCATGAAGGGGAGGGTGGCCAGAGTGAATCCCCCAGTGCGGGGTCTCTCTCTTGCTGCTGGCAAAGCTGTGCCTGCCTTGGGCTCCTGTGTGCTCCAAAGGGCCTCCTTCCCACGGGAGCTCGGCCTTAACCTGAGCCCTGCCCTCCTTTTTCTTTGGATTACGCCGTGTTATTGCGTCAGAGCCAAAATCCATCTCACCTTATCGAAATGGGCAAAGTTTCCCCAGGCCTGACAGGCCCCCATTAACGTGTGTATTGTGTGAGGCAGTTGCCGTTGGCCGTGCCAGGCAATAGGCACAACAAGGGCTCCTTGTGCGTGGGCCCAGGGCAGAGGGCTGAAGCAAGGCAGCCGTGAGAGGCAAAAAATTAGGTGGCTTGGAGCTCTTTAAAAAAGAGCTTTATAGATGCCGATGTATAGCATCCTAGGATGTACTAATGTTTTTAAAATAAACTTCCCAAGCTGGTACTGCACAGTTTCTCATGCCTGCAGGGCTTTTCCTTTCCCTGCATGGCCAGTTTGGTT